ACCATGCATGCGCAGTTTAACAGAACAGCGTGCAATGCCTCTCTCTCATATGACTTACATTAGAAGAGAAGAGACTGATAGTAATGAAAGCAATCTGCTGTATGCCAGCATAATGATAAACATTCTATTTCTATTTCTGTGTTAACTACTTGTTTTATTCGTGTGGTAATAAAGTGTTTGTGCTGTTAAGTGTGTGTTTTATGCAGTGCCCGCATTACATTCACGTTTACGTTAAGTAGGAAATATATATATCCAGAACCCACGCAGAAGAATATATGACAGTGGTGTCAGCAAAGGAGGATATAAGTAAGTCTTGGAAATTCACAAGTAAATGCGCGAGTCTTCGGAAAGGTAAGAAATACTTTGTTCAATTCACTTTGTTGTAAAGTGAAATTCAAAAGTAACAAAAGGGCTGAAGAGTTAACAAAATTTAAGAAAGAACGTAAAGTTATTTTCACCCATTACCAAAATAACAAGTTCTGTTTTGAATTGTTCTATTTTGAAATTGCTCTTCTCGATTAAAATGCTCAAAATGTAATTCTAAGTATCATAATATATTGTTGCATGAAAATAAGGGAAAGGTTAATAAAAAAGAAATTAAGAACAATTCTAACGCCGTAACAACAAAGATTTCTTCTAAATATTCTAGTGTGAATCAAGAAGTTAAGGAATTAATTGATGACTTGCCAACTGTTAAACTTGTTTGTCATGATAAATTAATTAATGCATAGCAGATACAGACACACAATTAACTGTTATCAAGGCTGACATTGTACCAGAAAAATATGATACGCCACATGGAAGTGTTATCCTCACGTCAGCTTTTGGACAATCTTTAAAGGCTTCTCTTATTAACCTACCTTTAGTGATGTATTCTGAGGATGATAAATTTGTCACCTATTTTCATAACCTGGGCAATGATGGATAAGTTATGTAATGATTTAACTTTTGTTGTTAAGTGCTTTTAATGAGTTAATTGAAAATGATAAACAAAAGTTTAATTTTGAATGCAAAAATGTAAACATTACTAATGATAGTTCGGTTGAAATGCCTTTTTATGAAACTGAAAATTTTGATGAAATACTTAACCATGATAGGGAAAGCATTATTAATGAAAAATGTAATGACACTGTTAAGAAAATAATAGAATCTTGTGCTCTCGTATATGAAGATACAGGTAAGGACATCTCCAAAGGTAGCAGGAGACAAGGTCAATGTGTTTCAGATTCAGAACTGTTTTGTGTTCAACAAATGAATGATCCATCTTTAAAAACATGGTAGCAAGATGTAAGAATGAAAGTAATAATTTATTGTTATCGACGATTTTTTGTATCATAAAGATAAAATTTTAGGAGAGAGTTCACTCGTTAGTTGTTCCCAAAGAAAGAAGAAAACCAATTTGGAACTTAGCACATTCTAACTCTGGGGAAGTCACCTTCGAACTAAGAAGACAGCTGAATGATTCAGATATTCCTTCTATTGGCCTGAAATCAAGAAAGAACCTTCGAACCAAGAAGACAGCTGAACGATTCAGATATTCCTTCTATTGGCCTGAAATCAAGAAAGATGTAAATGAATATTGTGATACTTCTTGTCAACTTCAAGTGAAAAAGCGTCCCTTTGATTAAAGTTCTGATTACACCAGTAACATGTCCTAACGAACCATTCCAGGTAATTAATATGGATATCCTAGGACCTCTAGAACCAAGCTGTCGAGGTTATAAATACATTGTGTATGCATGTGTTCTTGATCAATGTACAAGATGGCCTAAAGAGGTACCATTGAAGAATCTAAACATCAAATCAACATGCAATGCGTTGTTGCAAATCTTTACATGCATTGGAATTCCTCAGATTGTTGCTTCGGATCAAGAAACTAATTTTACTGCTTTGTCGACTCAAGAGTTTTTCAAAAGGATCGGATCATCCCCAAAGTTCTCAACTCTTTACCATCCAAGTTCAAACGGCCTTGTAGAAAGATTTAATGCAGTTTTAAAGGGAATGATACATCATACCATCAGAGAATATTCAGAAGATTGGGAGAAATGCCTATCATACTTACTTTGGGCCTATCGAGAAGTTCCTAATGCTACGACTGGTGTTAGTTCTTTCCGGATGCTTTATGGAAGACTTCCTAATGGCCCTTTGTCTATCTTAAAGATGTTATGGACTGATGAAACTCCTGTCCTGTTCCTCATGGACAATTAAGCTCAGTTACCGATTATCTGAATGATTTGAAGTTGAAGTTAGAAAAAGCTGCTGAATACGCAAGACTTAAGCTTATGCATTCTACCATAACTGGAGGACTCGGCATAAAGAATTTAAGGAAGGTGACAGGGTTATAGTCTTAATCCCTGATAGGCAAAACAGAGTTTATGCCAGATAGATAGGATCTGCTATGATCATCAAAAAACATACTAATTATAGTTACATAGTACAAATGCCTGACAATTAATCCTTCAAAGCACGTTCATGCAAACAAGATACAGAGAAGTTATTGAGTTCAAGACTGCTGTGGATAATGTCAGTGTGATATATGATACAGACATTGATTTCGGCGAAGTTGAAAACATTCCAAGGATTGTTCCAATGAAAGCAGAAGAACAACAATATTCAGATGAAAAATGTGGTCTTGTGCAACTTGAACTGCATAAGAGGAAAGAACTTATGGAAATTTTAAGAAGGCATAAGAATCTAAGATCTGGTATTCCAAAAATTTCCAATGTTGGAGAACATAACACCAAACTCAAGCCTGGAAGTGGGCCAAAGAAGCAGAAACTGTATCAGATACCGGAAGTTCTAAAAAATGAAGTTATCAACAAACAGATAAGCTATTACAGCTAAAGCTAATCATTGAATCAGAAAGTGAATATCTGCATCCAGTAGTTTGTGTGTCAATAAAATGGAACGGAAGCATGTGTAGACTAAAAGACTATGCTGAGTTTTATACTGATGACATAATGACATGATTGTATTTTCCAGTCAGTAAAGCATGACTGTAAGTCGATAACTTTTGAAACGTTATGAACTATGAACAATTTTGACTATTTAGTTTGAAAATTTTTTTAGCTAAAATGCTAAGCTTTTGATTTTTCCCCTAATGTTATGTAATATTTTTAATAATTGAGCCAGGGTTTGCTGAAATATAATGTTTAATTTCAATGATTGATTTGTATTTTCTCGTTTATATGATAATTGCTTATATGATTATGATAATGTGAAAGATTTAAGTTTGAAAAGTTAATGTTGCTGCATCATGTAAATGATTAAGATTATTTAATGTTTGTTGAAGTAACTTTAATTTAAAATGGTAAGAATTTATTAATTAAGTTTGAAAATTTCATGAATGTTATTTTTTGTTTTATTTCAAGAAATGTTTATATGTGGATTTGACAAGTCATTGAAAGACTCAATCTTTTAGAGGGGAGGTGTGATGACCACGCATGCGCAGTTTAGCCGAACGGCGTGCAATGCCTCTCTCTCATGTGACTAACATTAGAAGAGAAGAGACTGAAAGTAATGAAAGCAACCCGCTGTATGCCAGCGTGATGATAAACGTGGTTCTATTTCTATTTTTGTGTTAATTACTTGTTTGTGTGTTAATAAAGTGTTTGTGCTATTAAGTGTGTGTTATATGCAATGCTCACATTACATTCACGTCCATGTTAAGTAGGAAATATATATCCAGAACCCACGCAGAAGATTATATGACAGTGAGGATGATGAAGATGAGAGCCACAAATTTGAAGCCTTTTGGATACTGCAAACCATAGGTGAAATGTTCCAAATAATGGATTTTGTAAAGAAGCATGGAAAAGCAATAGTAAAAAAAGATAATAATATAACAGAAGTTTTTCATTGCAACGACAATGCTCCAATCATCACTTAATTAACTAATATGGCAAAATTTGTAGTATGGTTCTTCTTTATAAGCTCTACAGCCTGTTACAGGCCAAGGCTGTCTCTTCAAGTTTCCTCCCTCTGACCCAACTCGGCGAAGTAGCCTTCCATCGGTTAACTCCAATCAACCTTAAAACTTGCTTGACATCGTCTATCCATCTAGTGGGTGTAGTATGGTTCTAGATCCAGAAAATACCACTTTCGATAGTGAAGAAAGTGACAGAGGTTATTGAAAATGAAAAACATTTCGATTGACAATTTCTTCGGAATTCTCGATACAGCAACTACAGGACTTAAACAGTAGACCTCTTACTGAACAAAAAATTATATGTCTATAGAATTGAACAGAAAGTATTAGCACACAAAAACGAGGCAACAGGAACAATTTACATTCAAAAGAAATGTTTAATAAAGTAAAAAAATGAATGTTAAGCCTTTTTTTTTTTTTTTTTTTTTTGTAAATTTTGATATCCTTTAGATCATAACTGCTTCATTATTTTGTAAATCATGACCTTATATTTTTAATTTTATAATATCCACATGCGATCTTACTGGATTTAAACTGATAATCTAATATGCGGAAAAACCCGGAATCGAAGTCTCGACGAGTCCGAATCTCGGACTTTTTACTGTATATTGTTCTTGTTACAGAATTTTTCCGTTTAATTATTTATGAAACTGCATTTAATCTGGTACTAAAGATTAAACTTGATTTTTCACTCAAAAGTAAAGAAAAAGGGAAGTCATAAGATTATTTCTTATCAGAAATTTCAAAAAATAAGTGATCTTATCTGCTGTGTTCTATTTAAAATAATTTGTTTTATGGTTATGTCATCATGGGTGTAAAAGCTTAAAAAAAAAGTTGTCCCTTTTTTGTGGTTGGTATGCTGTTTATATCTTGATGTATAATTATTGCTGAATAAATGGTACTTGTCTGGCCTTGCTCTAATGAAGTATAATAAATTATTTCTCAGTCAAAAAAAAAAATAATTTTAATAATGGAGGATGTAAATAAAGAAGAAATGTGTCTGTTACCCTTTGTAGTTTCTGTTGTTGAATAATTTAAAAAGTTAATGTAAAATGTTTTTTCTAACTTTAAGGACCATGTATGTGAGCTACTTACCACTATGGATGCTTGCCAGTTACAGCTTGACATAGTAAGACTTTATTATTGTCTTAAATCTTTGAATGCAAAATTTTTTTAATTTCAAGTATTCTTTATATGGCTATTTTTGTATTGATGATAGTGATTAAACATTTTTAGACCACAAGCTTTGATTTGACAAAGAACTACTTGGATTTAATTGTAACTTACATGTCACTCATGATCCTCTTGTCTAGAGTTGAGGATCGAAAATCTGTGCTGGGGCTTTTCAATACTGCTCATGAGATGACTCATGGTCACAGGTAACTATAAGAAACTGTAATACATAAATCCATTTTGTTACATTTATGCTTATTCTGTGTGTGTGATATGCTTTTTTCTAGTTAAAAGTATTTATATTGTAGACAAAATTTTTATTTTGAAAAATATAGTTAATTGAGATGCCCTTTTTAAAATATGTGTTTAAAATCTGTATCATACAAGTCAGGCATCTACAACCTGTTTTGGAAGGATTTCCATTATTATGCTGGGTGAGTTAAAGTACAGTAATTATAGCTCATAAAAAATTTAAATTAACTAAAATTATGGGCAAATTTTAAAGGAAGCTGCTTTGGAAAGTCTGCTGCTAGACATCATTGCCTGGAATGTTAACTTTTTTAAAAGAAAGTTTCATTTATTCTACTTCTGGCTCTTGGATCTAATGTGAATAAATGTTCTCATGCATGAAAGTTTTTTTGAGTACACAGAAAAGTTATATAATGACTGTTGAAGCTTGTATGAAGCATACAAGTCAGGCGTTTATAACCTGTTTTGGAAGAATTTCCATTATTATGCTGAGGGAATTAAAGTACAGTAATTATATCTCATAATTTTTTTTATTTTTTTAATTAACTAAAATTGTGGGCAAATTTTAAATGAAGCTGCTTTGAAAAGTCTGCTTTTAGTCATCCTTGCCTGAAATGTTAACGTTTTTTTTTAAAGAAAGTTGCATTTCTTCTACTTTTGGTTCTTGGATCTAATGTGAACAAATTTTCTCATGCATGAAAGTTTTTTTGAATACACAGAAAAGTTACGTAATTATTGTTGAAGCTTGTATGAAGCTGAAATAACCAAATTCATGTTTTATGTTAAATTCTTCATTAAGGAAAAGCAATGACTAGAGTCCCATTAATTAATCTGAGATGATACACTCATCATTAAAATTTTAATAAAGGGTTTTAAGTTGTTTGTTTTATTCTTTAAACAGTTGGCTAGCATTTCACTCTTAAAAAATTTTAAGACTGTTTAGAACTTAAATTCTTTAAAATATGGTTTTTGTATTTGTCCTTATTTATATTAAAATGTTAAGTAACCAACAAGGGATAGAATATTAATTTAATTTATTGTGAATATCTTAATGCAAAAAATTAATTATTTCAAAATTTTGCTAATTTAAGAAAAAATTTTGGCTGTAATTTGAAGATCTTATGTTAAATTTATTATCAACAGTCTGTAAGGATCTTAAGTTTTACTAACGTTTATTTTATTTTAAATCTTTACTATCACTTCTTATTTTCTGCTTCCGGCCAGAATTATAAGCTTTAAGGTTTTTATGCAAAGTTTGTCTGGCGAACGACAAGTATTTAAGTTGTGGCCTTTTGCCAAGCGAGAGAGAGGAAGCAGTGAGTCGAAGCAGGCCGCTTACCTTAGAAGTTTTACGCAGTTGCTGGTTTGCCTTCCAGGCCAGAGGTTTTAATCCTCTTGATAAATTTTAAACGTATTGTAGTGTTCACAGTTCTCTGTACTACATACGCTTCCTGTTAATATAAGGCCAATCTTCCACGTTTATTAGTTTAAAGTTAAATTAGAGTTTAGTTCTATTTTTATATTTTACGTTAGACCCCAAGTAGCGGGTCAGTGTATTCCGAAGTACGGAAGTTATTGTATATAGAGAAAAATAAAGGGTTTTGTATACCCTTCGTGTGTATCCTGTCTACTTACCACAATTAGTGAACATAGCTTTAGTAAGCTCTCTGTTCCGAGTCAGGTCCTTGTATGTTCCCGAAGAAGGTAAGAAGAAGGAACATTGAACCTGATAGTGGCGCCCAACGAAGAAGAAGAATAACCATGGCCGAGTTTCAAGAAGAACCTGTGCTGCCTGCAGAAGAAACGGCTCAGAATCCAGAAATGCCAGCTGCCGCCCTGGAAGGATTTGGTTACATCGTCCAGACCATGCGCGCGCTTCGATGAAACCAGAAGCAACATTTAATGGAAACTCACCGGTAACCAGTTTTTTTGGAAAAATTGGATGACCACTTCATGCTCTACCCCGTGCACGAGTTTCAAAAAGTTACCTTAGCTACCAGCGCTTTGAGGGGCCAAGCGCTTAACTGGTTCAAATGTATAGGCAGAAGTCTCTTGGGTCAAGCAGGAAGTCCCACCTATACTTACGAAAATTTCAAGACTGCCCTACTAAAAGCCTTCCCTGTTGTAAGGGATCGTGCGAAATTAGAAACGGAACTTTTCAGTATATATCAACAAAGAATCGAAAACCTCTCGAGCTTTATTTTAAGAAAAATTCACGTTTTCAAACTCTTGTATGGAAACCGTCCGGATCCTGAAATAATTCAAGTGATTTTGCCGAGGTTACTGCCCCAAGTGCAAGACTTTATTGAATTAAGAAATCCGACTACACTGGAAAAGTTATTTGAGCTAGCAATCCAGTTTGAAAGTAGAAGAACGGCGGACGTCGAAAGAAGACGCCAATATCAACAGCGAAACCAATTTGGTACGCCAAGACTACAGCAAACTCAAGCACACGGCTACGGAGAAAAAGCGAATCAGTGGGCAAGGAAACCCGAGCATTCAAAAACAGCCGGCGAACGTCGACAGTTCAATAGCAACCCAGGAAAAAAGTCTCAAGGCCAGTGGAAAAAGAAGGAAAGCACGGAAAGGAAAAATAATTTAAACTAAAACGGATTTCTGCTGACGGGAGGGTGCGGAAATCCGAAGGCCACGAAAACCCCTCTTCCTACAAGTTAAATACAGTAATGGTGAAAAATTTGACTCTTCCGAAGATTGAAGTGTTGGTGAATAATATCCCAGCCACCGCACTCCTGGATACAGGCGCGCAGTGTTCCTGTGTGGCAGAAGATTTTTTTAGGAAGTATTTTCGCAAATACCGCATATATAATTCGGATAATACGACAGTGTTAGCGGCGCAAGGAGAAAAATGTAAGTGCGTAGGTAAAGTACCTTTGTATATCCGTATCAAGGACGAACAAGTAAAGGATGTTTTTTATAGTAAAGAATCTGCAAGCACATATAATCTTAGGAATAGATTTTCTTTCAGAGGCACAAGCAACGCTGGATTTTAATGAAGCGTCCCTTAAGCTGACAATGAAACCAGTTCGTAAGAAAAGGCTGAACCGCCGATGTTAAATCTTGACCACCTGCCTAATGACGAGCAAGGAAGAATCCGACAAGTGGTAAGTGAATTTGCTTCGTTATTTAGTGATATTCCAGGATTTACTCAGGTTACTAACCATAGTATTGACACCCGGAGATTGCAATGCCAGTTCGCCAAAACCATACCGGTATGATAAGAATAAGGAAAAAATTATAGAATGGCATATTACCGATATGCTACGTAAAAAGATCATAACGCCCATCTCAAGTAGTTATGCTAGCCCGGTGGTTTTATGTAAGAAAAATAATGACTATCCTTTGGACACATCCAAAAAGGTGGAGATTCGCTATTGATTACCGTAAATTAAACTCCATAACTAAATATCCGGTATATCCGTTACCGATTATTAGAAGAAATTCTAAGGAACATAAAATCAACCAAATTTATGACGACTTTAGACTTAACGACTGGTTATTTTCAAATAGGGGTTAGGCCTGAGGACGTGCCTAAGACTGCTTTTATAACCAAGTCTGGCACTTATGCATTTTGCGTATGCCGTTTGGCCTTTCAGGGGCCCGGCAACATTTCAGCGATGCATGGACATTGTGTTAAGACCTGTTCTTGGAAAGTCCACATTTATCTATTTAGACGATATCATTATTACTAGTGATAATCTCGACCAACATGTACAGGATTTAAGACAGGTGTTTTCTTTATTAAATGAGGCCGGTCTAAAAGTTAATGTCGAAAAGTGCAAATTTGCAGCCCCTGAATTAAAATATTTAGGTTACAAAATATCTCAAAAAGGGATCGAGACAGACGAATCAAAAATAATCGCTGTACAAAAGTATCCGACTCCAAACACGGCAAAGAAGCTCTCTTCTTTTCTAGGACTTTGTTCATATTATAGGTCCTTTATAAAAGATTTTGCAGCTATCGCTGAGCCATTGTTAATATTAAAAAGGCAAGATTCTCGTGGACGGCCGAAGCCAATAGTGCTTTCGAAAAATTAAAACAAGCATTAACGCAAGCCCCTGTGTTGAAATTTCCTGAAAAGGATGAGAATTTAGAAATTTCAGCGGGATGCTTCGGATTATGCGGTAGGAGCGGTACTTTCGCAAAATCAGCAGCCCGTGGCATTTTTTAGCCGAACTTTAAATCAAACACAAAGAAACTATTCCGCGACCGAGAGAGAGGCACTTGCAGTTCTGTTAGCAGTGCAAAAGTTCCGAGTCTATTTTGGAAAGGCGCCAATAACAGTGTATTCTGATCATGCGGCGGTAACTAGATTGTACTCAGGGAAAAAACTTATCCCCAAGGTTAATAAGATGGGCACTCAAGCTACAAGAATATAATCTGGTAATCAAGCATACCCCCGGAAAGGAAAATATCGTAGCAGATGCCCTATCAGAATTAAAATAGATGAACAAGGTAATACCGTAAAGGTGGCAATGCTCACAGCATGTACAATAAATTCCCGAGAAACTGTAATAACCGAACTGGGTAAGGATCCTGAGTTTGGAAGCATTTATGAGTATTTAAAGGATCCTGAAAATTTTAGCCACCAAGATATTGTGGCGATAAGAAATAGGGCGGCCCATTACGAACTAATAGATGGTCTATTATTTTATACAAAAACTACGAATTCCAACAACGAATTTCGACCTGTTATCCCAGCTAGTCTTAGATTAAATATCCTGCAGGAGCTCCATGACAGCCCTTTAGCTTCTCATGCTGGTATTCGAAAAACTATCCAACGCGTACGCGAGGCAGTCTACTTTCCTGAACTGCAAAAGTTAACAAGGGCGTATGTCCAGTCCTGCCCAACATGTCAAGCAGTTAATTATATTAATTTCCGCCCGGCCGGGTTTCTAAATAGTATTAAATCCGAATTTCCAAATGAAATAATTGGCATCGATTTATTGGGCCCTTTCCCAAAAAGTCAGTTAAATAAAAGTCGCTATCTCCTTGTTATGGTTGATCATTTTAGTAAATGGACCGAAATTGTTCCCTTAAAACGAGCCTCCGCGAAATTAGTTACTGATTCTATTTTAAATAAATATATTTTAAAATACGGGGCGCCCCTAAAAGTTATATCGGATAATGGTCCTCAATTTGTAAGTAATATATTTGAAGACATGTGCCAAAAACTGGGCATACGTCATTTAAAAATGGTCCCGTATCGGCCGCAATCAAATATAGCGGAACGGGTCAATAGAAATATAGTGAAAATTATCCGTAGTTATGTTAAAAATTTTCATAAAAGCTGGGATAACTATGTCAATGAATTTGCTTTCGCCCTTAGGACCGCAAAACATGATACAACGGGCAAAACTCCTGCTGAGTTATTTTTAGGCAGAAAGATTATAACGCCGTTAGATAAATTATTTTATGTGTGCAACAAAGAGCCCCAGAATTTAAAATGGGTGATATAGAAAAACTAATTAAAAGAAGCAAAAAAGAATACTGAAGTAGCACAAGAGAAAACAGAAGCTTATTATGATTTGAAACGACGGGGAGTAACTTATAAAGTAGGGGATGAAGTTTTAAAAATTAAGCATTCACTTTCTTCAGCACCAGAAGATAAAACTGCCAAATTTTTTCCACGATTTGAAGGACCATATGTTATAGAAAAAATAACTCACGCTGTAGTGTAGTGTAGTGTTAAAAGCCAGAAATGGTGAAACCTGTTCCGCAAACATTGATCAAATCAAACCCTACTATGATCGTAATAAAATGCAAATTTTCAGATCTTTTGCAGGATCCGGCACGGCAGACACCGCAGGCACAAGCTCCAGAGGTGGAAAAACGACAAGTACAAGGGCAAGCCATTAAGAGGCAGGAGCAAGTGAAAAGAAAATTTCCCCGCGGAAAAATTGAAGGTAACAAGAAAAAGAAGCCGTTCCACCGTCCAGAAAAGAGAGTTCACGAACACCCCCAGAATGAAGAAGGGAGAAGGACGACGTATGTGAAAGAGAACCAGGAGAAATGACGGCAACTATAACCCGGCTCTAAAACGGAAGATCTACTCATCCGACAGGACTCTCCGCAGCAAATGTCGCCGAACTGCGGAAGGGCCATCAGCGGCGGAGGAAAACACAAGACAACGGAAAATTGAACAGGTCCAAGCCAAGAAGGCCAAGGCCAAGAACGAAAAAGAAGGTATTCAATGGTCTCTTTAAAGGACTGGGCCCAGAAAAGGATGTCCGAATATCACAAAGATAAGTAAAATTTTATGTTACTTTGCAAACTTAAGTTAATCTTTCATTCTTACTGCAAGTGGCAGATTTCAAGAAGTTTTACCTCATGCGAGGTCTACCTTTATCGCCAAAAGGGCGAGAAATGAGTTGTTACCGATTTTGGTATTATGTTTTTCAATTACTCGCGCGTAAAACTAAAGTTGATGTATAATAGCGTTGTGTAAAGACTTAAATATTGTAAAAAGTTATTGTATAAATTTTATTTAAAACATTCTGGCAAGAAAGAAGTTTTAGTCTGAAAGACTTTTTGAAATGTAGTATTTCAATGTAGAAAGAATTGGCACTTGCTTTGAAAAGAATAGAAGTTAACAATGTACTACTAATGTATGTTTTCAAATGTGTAAAATTAACGGCATGTTAATATGTTCTTATATACAATGTGAACTGTTATTTTAAATGTTAAGAAATACCGTGATATGGTAAAAGTGAAAAATGTTAAAAATTTTTTTATTCGTGTGACTGTAAAAAGACTAAATCATGGTGAATATGTGTTAAAGGTTGATGATGATGTAGTTAGGCTCTCTGACGCTACACTTCAGAGTTAGCCACTTTCAGAATAGTACCTCAGGGTTTAGAGTTGAAATTAGGGTGTGTTAAGAGGTCTTGTTATGTTGAATTTTAACACGTTAGTGTTTTGATTGTAGGAGGAAGTGTTGAACACGTAGACAGAAACACATTCGTGTTTGGTGTTCTTTTACAACACATGTCAGAGAGCACGGGGAGAGATAATTAAAATAGTCATGAATGAAATAAGAATGTTAAGAGAAAGTATAATTATATCATGTTACTTGCCATTTCATTGTGTAACATTTCATTAAACTAGTTTTCCTTCCAGATCTCTGGAAGGAACCAGATTTGAATAAAAGCTCCTGTTTAGATGCAGTACAGATGAAAAAAAATTGTTGTATATCCTGGGAGCTGCTATTGTAAAAAACAATTTCTTTCTTTTAAATTTCTAGTTTCTAGCGAAAGTTATGTTTGTAAAAGATTGGCCTCGCGTTAGATTCTAGAGCTAAAAGTTTTCAACAAGGTCGTTTTAGACCTCAGTTTCAAACTAATTAACTCTGGCGGGAAGTATGTAAGGATCTTAAGTTTTACTAACGTTTTTTATTTTAAATCTTTACTATCACTTCTTATTTTCTACTTCCGGCCCAGAAATAAAGTAAAGGAAGAAGAAGTTTGGTCGAACGCCTTAGAAGTGGCTTTTGCCAGAGTTTAATCCTTTTAAATTAAACGTATTGTAGTGTTCACAGTCTCTGTACTACATACGCTTCCTGTTATATAAGGCCAATCTTCCACGTTTATTATTCTAAAGTTAAATTAGAGTTTAGTTTTATTTTTATACTTTTACGTTAGACCCCGAGTGGAGGGTCATTGTATTCCGAAGTACGGAAGTTATTGTATATAGAGAAAAATAAAGGGTTTTGTATACCCTTCGTGTGTATCCTGTCTACTTACCACAATTAGTGAACATAGCTTTAGTCCTTGTATGTTCCCGAAGAAGGTAAGAAGGAACATTGACCCTGATAAGTCTGCTAGAAGTTTAATAAATAATTTTTGATAAATTTATTGGAGTTTCTGTTAGGTGCTTTCTTTATAAAAAATTCGGATGTAATTCTGAAAAAATTTTGATATGTCAAGATTTTTAAGAATTTCATGTAATGCTTTATTGTGTGTCTAAGTGCAGTAATAAGCACATGCACACACATAAAGCTACTGAAATTGCAGAAACGTGAAAATTAGTTTGCACGTGAAAATTAGTTTTTAGTAATGAATCATGATTATAATGAATGTAGTGTGTATTATCGCACTATTTTTTTTTTTATATCGACAGTTAAGAAAGGCAAGTACAGCATGCTTTTATTCAGTATTCTATGATGCTTTCTGTCATTTTTTTTCCACATGATTAATACTGACAAATCTTCTGTAGTGATTCTAGTTTTCCAAGGCTGGGACAGTTAATAATGGATTATGATCCACCTTTGAAGAAACTGTCTGAAGAATTCATTCCTCATTCTAAAGTAAGTATTTTGTGGTACTTATTCTATTAGTATTACAAATTTTTTAATTGAAATAATGTATTGTAAAAAATCTAAAAGATTATTGTTCTGAGTGAGGAGACCTATTCTCCTTACCCCTTAGGCAACCTTATTGGAGGCCATATGAGTAAAATAATGTATGGTATCATAGACATATTTTGATGGGGCACAGAGTTTTTAAGGCATTATTAATTTTTCATATGTATATGACCAGCAAAAATGTTATTTCCAAGAATGAGGAAACTTTCATGTGCAGTGCAGTATAACTCAAAAAACCAGGATTAACTGAAATCACTGATCATTCAGATATCTGAAAAATGCAGGTAATTTGGTTGACATTTTTCTGTGGGTTAGATGCATAGTTACTGAAATGCAAGTGAGGGACTCCTCCCCTCCCTGTTATATTTTGGATTAGGATTATACAGTTAAAAAAATTACCTGTTGCAACTAAGGGGGAAAACAAATTCTTATATGGGTTCGCATATGGGTATAAAACTAGATATTTATCATATTTCCTGAACATTGTAAACCTATCTACATTTATCCAAATTAAGCTAATAGTTTATTGAAAATATTTTATATTATACACTTATTTTATTTACATTTATTGTCTTGTTCTTTTATTTAAACCGCTGAAAACGTGTAAATACATGAACAAGTTTAAGTTGACTTAAAAGAATAAGTGAACTGGGTAACTGAAGCTTCACGTGGTATTTTTTGTGATGAATAAGTACGTGTTTTTGTCACATTAAAGAAAATTTTGATCTTATAAAAAATAAACGTGCAGTACGAAGTCCAAAATCTGGATGTCCAGTATCTGGAACGACCTAATATCTGGACCTCCAAACCGCAAACAATTTTATTTATTTATTTCTTGAAAATTTTATTTTTAATTTACTTTTTTGGAATCTTTCCCTATAAAGGCTGGGAATAGAGCAAGTGTGCCGTAAAATCATGTATGTCAATTTCAAACACCTGCTGGTTAGAGAATCTCACCTGTGGCCCATGACAGTATGTTGATTGATGTTGACCATGATGAGAGTTTTTGAAGAGAGAATTTTGTGGTAATTACAGGACTTGAGCAACGGAACTTTGAATAAGAAATTGTCTTTGTTTGAAATTTAAGAGAAACTATTAGCAGAAAATAACGCAACAGCTTAAACATGCATTAAAACAAGTTCATTAAAACAAATGTTGAACTTCTTTTGTAAATTTTGATTCCCTTAATCTTATAAATGCTTAACTGATTTATAAACAATTATTTCATATTTTATAATTTCTGCATGACATTTTACTGTATTGCAGCTGATGTCAAATCTGAGATTGTTGAAGCCCGATGATGATCTTGGACTTTGTACTTTTAAATACAAATAGCAGGATTGCCCCACTACCTGGAAAACAGGGAAAAGGCAGGGAATTTAAATATTTTAGTCAAAATCTGGAAAAGTCAGGAAATCTCACATAGCGATCTCCAAAAAGCAGTTTTCTTACCTACGTTGAAAGTGATCATTTTCTTGGCAAATTATGTATGGCATGAGTGTCATTTGGGAATCGAAACAAGAAATTTAGTTTGATGCTAATTTTTTCATTAGTATTTTTTAACCCATTAACCGCCAAAACTACAAGGAATGTTTCTTTTCTCATGAAAATAATTAAAAATATGCTCTTACCTGTGGAAGAAGCGAGTTTTGTGTTTGTGCAACGTCAGCGGAATAAGACTACGGATGTTTAGTGTGTAGGATTGTACTCGTGATGTTGAGTGGAACGCAGGATACTTTTTAATGTATAACGTTTTATAAATCTATAAATCACTTTACTTGTAATTAATTAATATTAAAATTATACTCATAACTCGATATTTCTTTTTACAATACAGATTATTTCATTGAAAGATTCGACATGAAAAGCTTGATTACAATCATGATGTAAAACTACTTACATACTTTGCATCTATAACAGTCTGGCTATGGTACTCTTTCCAGCAAAGTCTTTTGTTATCAACGAACTTTAAGATAAAATGTTACCATCCATGCATTGGTTTTGGAACGCTGAATTACTAGGTCTTCCTATGCTGATCTATTCTCTAATTCTACTCTCAATAGGAGTGCAAAAGGAATAATGCATTCTCGTGTCTGAAATCTAAAAGAGACTTATATTTCCAGTAGTAAAAAGTGGTGATATTTAGTAGTTTAGATAGGTCTCACCTCATATAATTATCAGTATTGTTAATTTACTATTTCAATTCAATTTGCTTCATATTCTGTACTGCAAATGTGATATCAATTCCTCGTACTACAGGAAAGAAATGTCCTACCAAAAGACAATACATTTTTTGAGATAAAGAATGATCCTGTAAGCATTAATTTCCAATAAATCTTCTCATATAGGCTTCAGATGCAATAAATTCTGGGAGATTCTTTTGCTGAGAGATATATTGTTTTCAATGAGAAGAGAGTAAATGTCTAAACCAAAAGAAAATCGAAAATCTGTGCACTAGTTTTACCTTGTGTTTTGTCTTTTTATAATTTCTCTTCTATCCTTTCTTCATTTTTCCTGAGACATAACTAACATTCCTTTTTTATCCACTTCAAGATTTCATTCTTCTGCTTTTAAACTTTTTGTATGACATAACCGCTTGTAACGGCTGAAAACTTACTTTACGTGAATTTTCACTTCCCGCAGTATCATTGTAAAATATAAATCGTTATTTAAACATTGCCATTCCTTCTTCTTCGGTCACTAGCCTCTGCCTTTGGAGGAACAACAACAATATCAGTTTCATTCTGGTCATTAGTAACATTTCTCATCTGTTTTCATCAAAAATCTTTGAAGGCTTTTCTAATGTAAGATCCTGGTTCTAGGCATTTTTAAACAAAAGAATATCGAAAGGAAGAGTGAAAAGGAGATTGACTACCCGTTCCTGCTGACATTCCGTCAATGCAACCCTCTTCCCTTCCTCCCAAACAAAAAACATCGACTGATGATGTTCTGATCAGCGGTGACCTTGAGTACAAATAGACACTCATAAAGACGGCGATTCTTCGTTAAATATTTTTTCAGCAAAAATACCCCGGTCGAAAGTTTTGCTTAAATTTTTCTTAAAGTATAGATTAATTATTAAACAAAATGATTTTGAAGGCAAATATTTTTTTACAGAAATATCTTTATAAATTCCTACACATATCATCTGCTGGTATAAAATATCTTAGGTAGTTATATTTATATATGCATTTATTTTCACCGTTGCGTAAACACAACACCAGCGGCTAATGGGTTAATGTTTTGTTTAAATATTCTAAATGTCTATTTTGGGGGGTCTTCAATTCTAATAAAAAATTACACTTAATTATTATTGTATATGCTTATATTAAGTTTTTCACCAAAAGTCTATGGACTTCTTAATAAAACTGCTTTCTTTGACTTTTCAAAATTTAGCAAGTATCGTAATATTATTGAAGTGATTGCTCAACAGTTATACACAGGTTATCATAAATTAAGGAAAAATCACAAAAATAGCGATAACTCCTTCAAAAATAAGCCAAACCATGTAAAATTTGAATATGTTGCCCAGTAAGAGTAGCTGAGTAAAACTGCGATATGCAAATTAGTGGCACTGCTTTCGGATAAGTCATCTGTGAGGAGCATAAAAGTCCATGTTTGAGAGCAAGCCCACATATTTCACTGTGACAGTGACATCAGAAATCTGAGATAGCCAATTCGTAACAATGACCTCCAGGCATCATTTGCCTGCAGAACTGCAATGGAAAGCCATTGTTAGACTAGAGGCAGGACAAAATCAAACAGAAGTGGGCAGATGGCTAAATGTGAGACCTTCTATGGTTGATAGACTTTGGAGGCAATGTCAAAATACAGATTCGGCATCTAGGAGGTTCAGCCAAAGACGGCCAACTGCTACGACAAGCGCCGATGACCGATATTTGACATTATGGTGCACACAGGAATAGAACCGCTACTTCGACTCTTCTTAGATCCTCCCTTGCTGCACCCACCGGAAGGTTCGTGTCAACATCAACTTACGTAGAAGGCTTCACGAAGGTGGTCTGTCTGTATGCGAGGCAACCAGCCATTTGTGTGCCGCTCACGTCGCGCCGTAGGAGGGACCGTTTTCAGTGGGCACGACAACATGTCTACTGGACGCCTGATCAATGGAGGGTGGTTCTCTTTTCGGATGAGTCCAGGTTTAGTCTAGAAAGTGATAGTAAGTGTTATTTGATATGGAGAGGACCTGGAACCCGTTATCATCCGTCAAACATCCGTGAAAGGGATGCATACGGAAGGGGCAGTGTCTGTGCTTAGGGTGGCATCAATTTGGGTGGACGCACAGACCTTCATGTCTTTCCAAGGGTAACCGGGAATGCTCAGATTTATAGAGATGACATCCTTGATGTTTATGTGTGCCCAGAAGCCATGGCAATAGGTGATGCATTTCTGTTACAGGACGACAACGTAGGACCACACAGGGCTTGCATCGTAGATAATTATCTTCAACAGGAAACAATTATGTACATTGAGTGGCCAGCTCGATCCCCAGACTTGAATCCTATCGAGCACATTTGGGATGCTTTAGGGAGATGTCTAGCTGCTCTCAATCCGCCCCCTCAAACTCTTGTCGTGCTTGCAACTGCTGTGCAAGAGCAATGGCTCTCACTTCCTATGGAACTGATAGACCACATAATTGAAAGCATCACACATCGCTGTATGTGCTGTATTGCTTCTAAAGGCGATCATATTCCATATTGAAGGTACTTTTCCTATAGCAAACTGACACCTTCGATTTTTTTCATTTTATACATGTGCTATTTTCTATATTACCATATTTGTCTGGTAATTTCTTTTTATGTTATTTGATACCTTACTATGTGTTGTACTTTACTATGTGGTAAGTTTCATTACATTCTACATGTAACTTTTTCAGTAATCATGATTTTTCCTTAATTTATGATAACCAGTGTATATTATTTAATAGGATAGATATGACTGGTTCCCTACTGCCATTTTGTAAACAATAACTTCCATTCCAGAATTTATCTTTAATACTTTTTAAAACAATAAAGTTGCCATTAAGTTTATGTATTTCATTGAAAAAGCATTGAATTTCATTTCTGATATTGTTTATTACTTAAATGGAATGTATTCTAAGTATTTAATTTCTTTTATAAATGTATGTTTTTATGCATGTGAAATTAATTTTTAAGTTATAGTTTTAACTATTTATATTTGTGCTGACATTTTATTATAAATGCATTTTAGTATCAGTGTCTGCAAAAATTTCTGATGCACTAACAGTCATTTCTGGTATTATATACTCTTTTCATGTAATTAAAAACGGAATTTATTCGGACTTAAATAATTTTGTTATACAGCTATAATTGCTAAAGACAGTGGTTGTTTCTTATGCAAATATTGTTTAGCAAGTGTTCTTACTTTGCAAAAACTTAATTTAAAAGTTATTGAGGAAAACAACACCTATTATAGTTATAACAGTAATGCTTTGGGAATTATATATAATATATATATATAGAGAGAGAGAGAGAGAGGGGTCATATGCAAGAGTCAAATTGTTGTGTTTTAAGTGGTACCATAATTAATTTACCCTCAGCAGAGCCGACACGCACTTCGCGGATAGATTGGAAATTTCTTAAAACAGACCTGGCAAACATAAAATTTGGGGAATTTCACTCTGCTGTTTGAGTGGCAACCCTGATATAGCCACCTGTAACTATCTGTAAGGCACGTAATTTACCTTGTTATGTTTAAAATTCATTTAAGTGCTCGAAAAAGTTTTAATTTTTCAAATTATTTTTCTCTGCCTCCTTTTGTGGGGGCACTGAAATCAAATAACTGTCAAAAGACCCCATTTGTAGAGAAAAGGTTGAGAACCTTTTGCCTGTAAAGTAAATGCTAATAATTATCATTTTACTCTTGTTGTAGCAATTACATCCATTTGTGTTTCAGTATTTACACGAAAAAAACCTATATTTTTTTTAATTTAATATTAGTGAGTAACATGTAGCTAAACTGAAACAGTCAGAGAACAAGAAGAAACATAAAGAAGCTTTTGTGTACAATTTCTGAGTTTGCATAAAAATACAAAATTTTTCATTGTATTTTCCATGTGATTATAAGAGGTACCATTCACCTTCTGTTTGATCCTTTCTAAACTATTCAAGGTAGTGTAATTTAGAAATGTTTTAGTATTCCTAAGACTGCATTTAATGTTAATGTGTGTGAGTAGTATGTTTCATTAGACATTGATGGTATGTAAACTTTTTCAAAGAGAAGTATATCAAATATCTGTTTTTCCCTTGTAGCTTTTATTTCAGGCTTTGATGTCATTGCAACAAGTTTTTCCTAGAAGAAATCTCACAGTTGAAGATTGGAGGAAAAGCCAAATGCTTAGTCTCATTGCTAGCCCTTCTCAGATGTTAAACCCAGCCCAGACAGAAACAGTTAGTATAAAACTGCTGTTATTATCTCGTCAAAAACTGATCTCACATTCATGCTGTCTTAAGCTGTAAATGGTACAAAAATAATCATTAATTTTTCTATTCAGTCTTGTCATTTGAAGCATAGTATGCTAATAAGTATATTTTATAATTGAAATATTAATCAAAATACATTATTATCAAAAATTAGGAAAATCATGTAATTTATTTTTTGAACATTATATGTCTAAGCTTCAGGGTTAGATTAGTGCTCCTAGTAATCATGTAACTCACTAGTTTGGGACTCTAGTGAGTTACATGATAAAAAATTGATAAAAATCATCAATTTCGTGTAGTAATTGATGATTTTTATATCATGTTCAGAGTTGCCAACTCTCCCGATTTAGAGGGGAGTCTCCTGATTTTCGACCGCTCTTCTGCCAACCCGATTTACAATATATTTCTCCCGACTTTTTCTTATTCTTAAAATTTCTCACGATTTTTATGGAACTTGGCTTAATACTTCGTTATATGAACAAAAAAAAAAAAAAAAAAAAGTGATTTTGGACATCTGAAAGCAATTGAATTCTCTCTAAAACAAAACCTGGTGAATCAGATGAGAATTTCTGCTTTATGAGTGAGCATACGTATCCAGAAACGCCCGTTCTCCAATGGGGATCGAGCTCCACTACGTGTCATCTGGCATATATTAGCCAATGAGCACAAAGCAAGTTCAAGGCTGTTATTTGGATGTTCTTTAGTTACTTCGTTCAGCTTGTCCTGAGTTGTGTGAGTACACGTGCCTTTGGGAAATAGATTTAGAAATTATCATCTTTTGTTATATCTGCGAGAAAGGTGAAATACTGGTGTACATTTCAAAAATTGTACACTGTTGACTTTCCTTCCATTATTTCCTCAAGGAAATGTAATAATGTGTACCGTCTGTAGTTGCGATTTTTCGATTTTGCATGGTGGAAGGGCGGATGTTCTCAACATGTGCATACACAAAAACACAAGGACAACATGAGTTGTTTTAAAAAAAATGAAAAATTAAATTTCTCTTTAAAAACAAAGGACCAAAAAGTTATTAATGCAAAATGTCTGTTTTCTGCTTTTTTACTGGAGCACAACCTGCCACTGAATGCATCAGATAACGCTGCAGCTTTATTTTATTTAGAAAAATGTTTCCCGATAGTGAAATCGCTAAGAAATACTCAAGTGTAAGGACCAAAACAGGTGCAATTGTTAAAGAAATGGTTTGAAAAATAAATTTTCAGTTATTGATTGCATTAAACCAGCTCCATTCTGCCTCTCTACGGATGGAAGCAATAATACAGATTCAAAACTGTATGCTGTTTCGTTTTTTAATACAAAGTCTTCAGAAATTGAGTGCAGTTTACTTTCTGTCCCCACTTTAAAAGGATATTTGACAGGCTTTAATATAGCACAGCTAATTATTAAAACTTTAAAAGAAAATGCAGTCCCTCTGGATAATTGCTTAGCACTTACTGCCAATAATGCACCAGTAATTGTAGGTTTGAAGACTGAAGTTGCAGGCATCTTAAGGAAGGAAAATTCAGATTTGCAGATTATGAGGTGCACCTGTCACCTCTTAAATTTAGCAGCTGAAAAAGGGGCAGCTTATTTACCAATAAATGTGGATGAACACATTGTTCATATTTATTATCTTGAAAGGAGTTTTAAAAGGAAGGAAAAATTAAAACAGTTCTAACAGCTGCATAATACTGAAATGAGAAAAATTTTGAAACGTGTGTACACGCTGGCTGTCTTTAAAGAAATGCTTGTCTAGAATCCTCGATCAATGGAACCCACTTCTTGCATTTTTTAAAGAAGTAAATGCTTTGAGAGTTAAGATAAAGGGCTGTATTGAAAGTTAAAAAATACCTAAAGTAAATGGAGATGCAGTTACTACTTGCATTGTTAAAAATAGGTTTGAGAAAAATAATTTCTGCACCATTCAGCAATTTAACTGACAGTTCTCAAAATAATACTGCAGTATATAAGCATAAAGCTGATACAAATTTCTCTCAAAATAAAAAAATTGCTCAACACACGAAACATTTTCCGATTACTTCTTGTGAAGAACGAATATTTGTTTTTTTCTTCGGACCTTAATAAAGCTTTTTTTTTTTTTTTTTTTTTTTTTTTTTTTACAATTCATTTTGGCATCATTCAATATTCTTAACACAGTTCTACAAAGCAGAATTCCCTTAATTCATGTTTCACAATCAATGATTTATGATTTGTTTAAAGACATTTTATCAAAGTTTGTAAAACCAGTCTGTGTTTTGTCTTCTATATATAATGTGATTTATGGTGAAATAGAAAATCAGAAGAAAGATGAAGATTTTGGTACTAGGAGTTGCAACTACAAAAGTAGTGGGAAAACTTTCAGAAGAAGACAAAAATAAGTTTTATGTTCATGTTAGAAGTTACTTCTGTCGAGTATGTGATTACATACTACATAAATTTCCAGTCAACGTTAAAGTGATTTTGCATGCTAAATTTGCTGATGTTTCTGATATAAGGTACTCTTTGAACAGATTTCCTGTGTTACTTCCTTTAGTCATGAAAGATGATGATATTGATGTTGGCACTGATAAATATTGCAGTTGCAATTTTGCAATTTACAATTAGAAAACTTGGATGAAGTTATAAAATCAGCTAGTTATAAAATCATTTTTGTGTTGCTTGCATTTAAGAATTAGTAACTATTTTAAAGTTAATTCATTATTAAAAAACTATATTTTTATCATTTAAAAAGTCTTTTTAACATTGTGAGAAATATCCTGATTTTTTAGTGTCATAGGTTAGCAAGTATGCATGTCTGATATGTTAGCATATTTTGTTTTAATGTTTAAAGTAGAATTTTGACAGTAGGGAGAACAATTAAACTGTGAAAATGTGATTGTGGCTATCCATATAAATTTAGTGTGAATTGTGAAACAGAAAAATTCAGAATTTTCATAAAAATATACCATAATTAGTTTTTTAGTCCAAAGGGGCTTTCTCTCTGAAGGACTATTTTTTTCATTTTGCGATTCTGCATTGAAAACTTTAAAAGGCTGTATCAATTTTCACATTGTTGCCACCAAATACTATCGCCCTGTATTATATTTGAAGAAATTAAATAATGAAGAATCTGCATAAATGTATGTATGTTTCTCACATTGTGATAAAACAACGGTACCTAGAGCCATCCACTTTTGAATGACATAATCCTGCTGCGAATATGGGCGTCTGAAAGCCCAAATTTGGAATTTGTTTTATTATTGAATCCATATTTTGTAAAACTTTAACAAATTTTTGATTAACAATTTCATGGCTTTCAAAGCGAGCGATAGCAACATTGTACAGAAGAAAACATTTTTATCTCCAGAACGTGAGACTGTGTATCAGAAATTCTAAAGGTATGCTAAGTTTAAAATTATTTTGTGATATTGCTGTTGAACTGAATTTTATGGTTTAAGTGCGAAGAACTTGATACTTAATAAATAAAAGTAACACACAAAATGTTAAAAAAATGCCACTTTGGGCGCAGTTTAAAATCCGAAACCTTTCAGATTTTTTTTATGAAAGCAGGTACTGTTCTGTTATCAGGATCGTATAAAGAAATGTATATGTATGCATGGATGGATGTGTTCATGTATGTGATGTCATTTATGTCTCATGTGTCATTTATGTATGTGAGTACAAATGTATGTATCACATACATACATTCATACATTTCTGAATCCGGTCCTCCAATAACAGAACCGTACCCAGAAGTATTATAACACAAAACGGCAAAGATAAATACTTCTGTTAGAGTATTTTTGAGTTTGTTCATTTTTATTTGTACAATATACATGTGCTTTCTCTTCATGTATACATTTATTTAAGCTTATGAAAATGTGTAACTTTTAGTATTATAACTATTACATGCATTATATCTGTAATATTTATATTTTACAGATGCCATGCGAATATTTATCTTTGGATATAATGGAAAGATGGATCATATGTATGTCATTTTCAAATTATGTATTGCTCATACTAAAATATATGTCTAGATCCTAAAAACGTCTGATAGTCTGATTTTGTATGATAAAAATAATTATCTTACGTATAAATTAACTATTTTTTTTTTCCTTTTCCACCAGTTGGATTTATTCTTATTCATCAGTATTTAAGCCAGCCTCCAGCTCAAGAGTTATTCCAAAGTGCATTACATGGGGGATGGGTTCATACACTTTTCCGAGATGAAGTCTTGCAGGCCCATTTGTACATACAGCAGTTTTTTGAGTCAATTAAAGGGTTTGTATATTTCACTGAGTTAATGCTTTTTGTGAATTTAAATTTTTTGTGTACTAAAAACTGCTGTTACTAGTCGTATTTAAATACCAATAATAAAAATTTAACAAAAACAAATTAATTCCAGTCTAAAGAACTAATGAAGACAGTGCATTTAAAAATTCTAGATAATCCAGTTTTTAATTTTTGTTACATTCGCCTCTGAGTTAAAGATCTAATATATCATTTTCTGTTGAGAGGAAAGCTCTTCCTTCTAGTATAATTTCACCTTTTGAAGATGTTTTTTCGTACTTTCCATACATGTCCGAGTAGCATATGTACCCTACTGCGGAACAGATACTTTATTATAGGTGACAGACATTTATGTGACATAAAAAAGTTGCTGTTTCCCATAGTGGGGTACATGTGCTGCTTAACCCCTTGACATACAGTGATGTCCAGGAGATGTCATTCATTTCATGTGCCATTGTAGACTGATGTCTAGAACTATCTTCAGCGAACTCCACGTGGTATATTATAAGATTCTGTAACTTTCAGTCATGCATTGATGCTGTTTTGTTTGGATCGTTAAGGTGCTTTCCCTCTCTTAACAGTACTGATAAATAAAATCACATCCTGATGTGACTAAAAATTGTAAATAATAAAGATGATAATCTTGGAAAGGAAAACATATCTTTAAATAGCTCGGGAGAATTTATTTATACAGTACAAGTAGCTGTAGTAGGTGTAGCAGGTTAGGTACTGATCATCATAATGTAGATGCTTCATTATCGATTCATACTATTTTAATGATTTGTTGTACTACTGATTATTCAACATCTGAAGGTACAAATATGTTTTTATATCCTGATACTTCGGATAAACTTAAAGGCAATTTATTTTGAAAGAGCAGATATTGATGCCCCTAAATTAACTGATGTAATAAATAACATAAAATTGAGTGGTTTTAATGAAGGATTTTTAAGAGGTAATCTATTATAAAAAGGTAACAATGTAGTAAAAGTATGTCTTCCTTCAAAAATTTTATTTCCTTAAAAAATATAAAAAAGGACTTCGAAATTTTGAAATTAAACTTGAATTTCAAAGAAATATAAGTGAAAATATGGTAGGTAGTGGTGAAAAAAAAATTATGATGTAATTGTAAAACGTATATAATTGATATTTAGGTATTGTAAATTTAAAATCATGCAAAGGTTATGTTTGAAAAATTTCAAATTAAAAAAGAAATAGAAATTGAATGGAACCATTTCAGAATGCTAAAATCCTCTCCTTTCTTAACCTGTACCAAGACATACAAGATTACATCTATGTCAGTTGATGTTTTAAACTTACATATTCTCCCTCAGAGAAAATGCAACACAGAATAATGTGATATTTAATAATTTAGATATGATTGATTGATTATTTAATGGTTAATGAAAATGGATTTTTGTAAAATTGTTATTATAATAGATTATATGCATCTCTTTTAAAAGTAGGATTGAATGATATTAATTCTTGAAACAGCATATATGATAGATCTTTTCAAATTTGAAAAACTCTATCCCATTTTATGTTATGATCTCTCCAATCATGAAACTTATACATCCAACAATGATATTGAAATTTATTTTAATCAGACAAGAAATAATTCTCAAAAAGAATGTAGGTTTTACTTTATTTTTTTAAAGAGAAAGAAATGTATTTTAAATACAGCAACTGGAGAAATTACTATGACAGAAACTCTAAAATTACCGTAATCTGAAGGGAAAAAAATGTAGCAGAATTAAAGAATTAAAATCATAAAATTACCTCATCAGATCCGGCGGGACCACTTTTACCATTTTTGTTTTTTAATGTATGCTTAAAATCATATTTTTTAATCTTTTTTTAGTATTAGTTTCTATTTCTTTATTTTGGGAGTACATTGTTTTTATAAATATTTTAATCTTTTTGTATTAATTTTTAATCTATTTCAGTGTTGTAATTTCATATTTTTAAAAATACCTTAAAATGCTACTTAAAAGAATTTGAAATTAGGTTTTTTAATAAATATTTTTTATTATTTGTATATAGAAATAATGCAAATTTTAGTGTCGTAAATTTCTAAACTTTGAGGGTGTCTTAAAATATTATAAAAAGCATGAAATGTTTATCAGGAAGCAGATATACAGAACATATTTCATATAGAAATGTTTGTGGTAATGCTGTGTTGAACCGGTAGAGAGCACTGATGAGTATGGCGTATAAAAGCACTGTGCTAGCTGGATTCTTCAGTTTTCGCACGGATCTCGAGCAGCATGCATCATCACACCAATGTGGAGTTTACCAACATGCATTTCATGTATGGGTCTGCACAAGGAAATGGATTAACTGCTCAAAAATGTATAAGGAGCAATTCTGTGTTACCTGAACATTTGGTTGATGTCCCTCAAACTTTCTGCAGACGAATGTGGTTACAGCACGATGGAGCTCCTGCTCACTTCACCCTGAATGCCAGGAATCGCCTGACTGCTGTCTACGGCCAGCATTGAATAGGACGTGGAGGCCAGGTTCCCTGGTCATTTATTTACCTTCTCCTGATTTAACCTGCTTGGATTTCTTCTTTTGGGGTCATATTAAAGGCCTCGTGTACGGGAGTCCCGTCACATCTGCAGAAAATCTTGTTGCTCACTTGTCGGTTGCTGCTAGATATGTGCTCAACATGCCTGGTGTCTTTTCTAATGTATGCCAATCCATGCACCACCACTGTGAATTTTTTATCGCTGTTGTGGCGGCTTTCCCAAGCACCTATTGTAAACTATTAATAACTTTTTTCTTTTGTCTTTACTTGTCTTCTCAGTTTCCTATGATTCATACTGCTTTAATGCGGCATTACCGCACACACATTCCTATACGAAAACTGCTTATTCAGGTCCCACTTGCCTTTACATTTTTGACATATAGTTTTGAACCACCCTGTGTATCCCACTATAGGAAACTGATATTTGTCTGACAGGGGTTGATGGAATCATACCTGTTTAAAAAAAAGTTTCCTACTGTTACATTGCTATGTTCATGTTTTGTATTGAAGACAATATGTAATTTGCTGCTAAGCGTATGAATAATGCTGCTGCCTTAATATGCTAGTAAGCAATTTGATGTTTCCAGTCACATATACACTGCTCGACATTGAAAATGCAACACCAAGAAGGAGTGGTCAGAAATTTATGCAAATTTTAAAGTAGACTCATGTCACTGAGTTATGTGAATGATGTGAAATGTGCAGCTCTCCAACGCACGTGATGTAAGATATAAGGGAAGGAATGTGCAGAATGGGGAGTATTCGTGTCGTTATTTCTGCCAGATGAACTATCGAAGAAAGTTTTTGTCCCGAAGGATACGTGTAATAGGAGAGAATGCCAGGCCGCCGTCAACAAAGGCACTTCCAGTGGATAGACAATTTTGTAAGGACTATGGTGATTGGACTGAGAAGGGTGGGTTGGTCCTTACGTCAAATCGCAGCTGATACCCACATGGATACTAGCACTGTGCATTGGTTATGGCGAACATGGTTGGGACAAGGAAATATGGGAAGAAGGAGGGGTGCAGGTGCAGCCAGAGTGACGTCAGCACGCATGATGGTCCCATATCCTACTGAGCCGACGCTGTTCTCGCTCTGTATTCTATCATTTTGAAATAAAGATCACTTGTTGCTGCTTGCTGTCTCTGTCTTTTCTACAAATTTCACCACTTTCTGACCACTCCTCCTTGGTGGTGCATTTTTAGTGTCGAGCAGTGTATGAAACTTATTGTAACAAATTAATATGTAGAGTAATTACAAATTATTACAACCAGCACAGTTCGCCAGTTTTTTACGGACGTAAAGAATGATGATTTATTATTCATAAAAGTATTCATTTCATATATATTTGGCTTTTCAATTAGGTATCGACTCCAAAAATCAGTATATAAACCAACTTATTATAAGTAAGTGTTTCTTTTATTCTTTGTACCGTTTCTTTTGTGTGTGTAAGTGAATATTTCAAAAGAAATTTCTTGGCAACTCTTTAACCCGTTTGATAAATGCCTTTGTTTAAGACATTCCCTCGAGACAGATGGGAATCGTCTTACAGGGCAGGGGGTTTTTGCATCACTAAGCCTAACTTTAGCGAAAAAATCACAAAAGAAAAGGTTCAAGTCTTAATATCATAATTTTTTGTACTATTTTAGATTATTACTTAAGATATCGTATATGTTAGCATTTAATAATCTTTTTCTTTGCTTAAAAATGTGTAAAAAAATTGCTTACTTCGAGAAATAATTTTCAGAAGCACTATTCACATTATTCCAAAATTTAATTATAAAGTATGTTAATTATTTTTTAATTAATTAAAAAATTCAAGAAAGATTATTTACTAGAAGTAACAAAATCTTTCACTGGAAGGGGAAGGCAGACACTCAGTGAGTTCAGTCTCTGACAAAATGTCTGTGCAAGAGTCATTAGAAATATTGCTCTCTATAGGAAATGAATCATCACTTTTATACATGTCACAAATTGGTTCGTTTACCATGCAAGTATGTCTTTTCTTTAATAAATACAGGGTTGCCACGCTAACTGGAAAACCGGAAAAAGTCGGAATTCAAAATTGACCAAAAAATTCAGGGAAAAGTCAGGGAATTCAAGTGTTTAGTTAAATCTGGAAAAGTCCAGGGAATTCATAACGATCCCGCCAAAAAATGGAGTTTGTGCCGACGTCGGAAGAGATAACTTTTTTGGCGAAGTGTGCATCGCCGAGTGTCATTCGGGCACTGGCATAGAGCCAATTTTCACAGCTCCAATTTGATTGTCTTTTAGAAAGGCAAGCAAGTTTTCCCCGCAACTTTTGGTTTCCAACCTCGGAAATCGCATGTGCAGTGCATGAACTAAAGAAAGTACCTTTCTCGTATAAAACAAAATGGGTTTAATCCTAGTATACGGTAAAATGAGGTTAGAATCAAAGAATATGTATTGTAAAGAAGGAAACCTCTGCGACAGAGGTGGC